TTTTTTTTTTTTTTTTTTTTTTTTTTTTTGCTGTTTTATTTATTTGTTATAAAAAAAGAACAAAAATAAACGTATGAACAGAAATCGAACGGGAAAAAAAAAAGACAACAACAACAACAAAATAACTTTGTTTTTTTTAGTTTTATTTGTTGGTCTTTTGAAACACCGCTAAAACTAACAGTTTTTTCTTTGTTTTTTAAACTTTTTCTCAAAGCTTATAAATTTTTTTCTGTTTTATTAGATATTTGATTCAAAATGTTTTTTCTTCAATTGATACCGGTAATGTTGCTGTTTTTTTTGTTGCTGCAAATTCAGTTGAACATTTTTACAGCATATTGGCGCTGTTGAGATAATCGGAATGTCCAAAAGTATTCTGGGCAAAAATTTCTTTTTTCTAACATTTTACACCCGATACAAAAACGTTTGTCTATCAGCTTTCTGTTTTATTTTGATGCTGCAGCAGTACCAAAAAAAGAAGAACAAAAATTAGTGGAAAAATCAGCCAGAAGAAATTTTTCTTTAATAGGGAAAGGAAATTTTGTCTACCAGAAAAAAGAAATCATTTTTATACCTTGAAATATTCAGAGGAAAAAGAACCACACTGTTTTCTATCAGTATCTGTAATAATTGGTTTGATAAAAAGATTTCAAATTTGTGCTATTTTTGGGGGACAAAAAACATATGAGAATCAGTTGAAAAAAAAAAAAAGAAGAAAGAAAATTTGTCACCAAATCTCTGAAGTTGCGGAGCGATAGAGCGGTAATATCTCGCGAAAACAGATGCCAAACAGAAACCCCAAAAATTTAGATGTCCAATTTCCGGGCAACAGCTAAATAAACTGACAATTGATTGAAATTAGTTTTTTTTTGGTAGATAAATTGTCCTTTTTCTGCATTTTTTGTTCAGATTTTTGTCTGATTTCAAAATGACGAAGATAAAGAAAATTTGGTCTTAGCTATTGTTCTTGTCTTCTCTTTTTTTTTGTTCTTTTTTTTCATTTAATTTATACCATCTTTTTTCTGTTTTTTTTTCTATAAATTTTTTTTTAAATGCAATTCTATTTGTACCATTGTTTAATTGTTGGTTTAAGCTTAGCAAAAAGAAAGATAGACTAAACTAAACAACAGTAATGATATTTAGTCTTATTATTTGAGCTGAATGACCAAATAATTTGCTATTCTTTTCTTTTCTTTTTTTCCTTTTCTCCCATCTCTCCCTCTTCCAGTATTCTTTTCTTCACAATTCTTTTTTCCACCTTTTTCTTTCAGTGTGGTTTTTGTGGGTGTTTGTCAGTTTGTGGAGTGTATGGCTACTATTTGAATATAATTGAAGTTTTGAGAGGAGGAACCCAGAAGATACAACGATAACAACAACGACAATGACGACGACGACAACACCGATGACAAAA